AATTACAGGCATGCGCTACCACGCCCGGCTGATTTTTTGATTTATTGTAGAGATGAGGTCTTGCTGCCCAGGCGGGTCTCGAACCCGCGGGCTCAGGCAATCCACTCACCTCAGCCTCCCAAAGGTGCGGGATTACAGGCTGAGCCACTGAGCCCGGCTCCCAGCTAACTTTTTATTGTAGAGATAAGGTCTCACTAAGTTGCCCAGGCTGGTCTAGAACCTCTAGGTTCAGGCAATCCTCTCACCTCAGCCTCCCAAAGTGCTGGGATTACAGGCATGAGCCACTGCACCCAATCATAGGGAGGATTTCTACCAAGCAATAAGAATTAGACAAGGCCGAGCATGGTGGCTCACGCCTGTAATCCCAGCACTTTGGGAGGCTGAGGCGAGAGGATTGCCTGAGCCCAGCCTGGGTGACAGAGTAGGACTCTACCTCAAAAAAAAAAAAAAAATTAGACAAATGATCTATTTTTTAATGGGCAAGGAATATGAACAGGCAGTTTACAAACACAACGGAAATGATCAAAAAGCAATAAAAAGTTCCAGCTACCTGGGAGACTGAGGCAAGAAGATCGCTTGAATCTAGGAATTTGAGATCTGCCAGGGCACCAGCTCACGCCTATAATCCCAGCATTTTGGTAGCATGAGGTGAGAGGATTGCCTGACCTCATAGGTTCGAGACCAGCCCGGGGAAAATCAGCAAGACCTCATTTCTATAATAAATTAAAAAATTAGCTGGGTATGATGGCGCATGCCTGTAATTCCAGCTACTTGTAAGGTTGAGGCGGAAGGATCGCCTGAACCCAGCAGGTTGAGGCCGCAGTGGCCGTGAGTGTGCCACTGCACTCCAGCCTGGGAAACACAGTGAGACTCAAAAAAAACTAAAAAAAAAATTAAAAAAAAAAAAAGATCTGCCTGGGCAACCCATCCCTTAAAAAAAAGAAAAAAGGAATAAGAGATGTGTACCTTTACTGTCAATAACATGCAAATTGAAACAATGAAATACTACTTTTTACCTATAAAATGAGTAAATATAAAAGACTCATAGCATCCAGTATTGCCAAGGTTGTAGGAACTAGGAATAGTCTCACATGGTTCCGAGTAAGGATGTAAGTTGTTGCAAACTTTCAATTCAATCCAACAGAATCTATTAAAATTTGAAATGCACATATTCTTTTTTTGAGTTGGAATCTCACTCTGTCACCTAGGCTGGAGTGCAGCGGCACACGCACGGCCACCACAGCCTCAACCTGCTGGGCTCAGGTGATCCTTCTGCCTCAGTCTTTCTAGTAGCTGGAACTACAGGCACATGCCACCAACCCTGGCTAATTTATTTTTTTTTTAATTTATTGTAGAGATGAGGTCCTGCCAAGTTGCCCAGGCTGGTCTCGAACCTGTGGACTTAGGCAATTCTCTCACCTTGGCTTCCCAAAGTACTGGGACTATAGGCATGAGCCACCACACCTGGCGAAATGCACATATTCTACCTACAAATATATCTATCAGTGCAAATATAACTATATAAAGATGTTTGTGCAGGCTCGGTGGCTCAGCCTGTAATCCCAGCACTTTGGGAGGCCGAGGAGAGTGGATTGCCTGAGCCCGCGGGTTCGAGACCAGCCCGGGGAAATTGGCAAGGCCTCATCTCTACAATAAATAAAAAATTAGCTGGGCGTTGTAGCGTGCCCCTGTAGTTCTGGCTACTTGGAAGGCCGAGGCAGAAGGATCTCCAAAGTCTAGCAGGTCAATGCTGGGGTGGCCATGAGTGTGCCACAACACCACAGCCTAGGCAACAGAGTGAGACTCCAACTCAAAAAAAAAAAATTTATTTCTGGTCATGCTTCTCTCTCTCTTTCCATTTTATCTCATTTTAGGATGATGGTAAGAATACAAGGAACTTGCTTTCTTTTTTTTTGTTTTTGAGTTGGAGTCTCACTCTGTCGCTGAGACTGGAGTGCAGTGGCCGCTCCTGGCCACCGCAGCCTCAACCT